CATCTGAATTTCCCCATTGCTTTTATAGAAAAAAATATAAAAAGCTTTTTCCTCATCCTCTTTTGGTACAAAATAACGTGTCCTCTACATCTGTACTCGAAAGAAGGGTATCTTTTGGTTCAAAATATATTAATGGTTTTTTTAATTTTTAAGACGGTGAAGGTTTAATTCCTAACGTATCGTATCTGCCTATTTATTACGATAGTAGTATACAAAATACTCCATATTAATTGCACAAATGTTGAGTCCCATATGACGTCCTATAGCGTATTGCGGGCGGTTCCTGTCCTCATGTCCTATTTAGGCGACCATACAAGTCATCCTTACCGGAAAAATCCTGTTCCGAAGGGTCTTCAAAGTCGGTCCTTCCGCTTTTTGGAGTTCGCCGCCACGAGGTATTTTTGTGACCCGCCCCAAGGCAACTGTTAAAAGAAAACTGACGTAATGGGATTTCATGATTTAGTGGAGTTTGTGACAATATACAGGTCGGAATTCATGTTTCTGCGCTCCATTGACACAGTCGCCGTTAATCAACATTTCTGCGAAAATTCCCATTTACGATTGAAAAGTCATATTGGCAAACAATTGTTTCGGTCATTCATCATCAGGTCGGTACAGTGACATGGAGAATAAAAATGGTTAGTTAATTGCAACGTTTATATGATCGTAAGGTTGGGGGTTGCTGGGTGGGTGTAATAAGCATCTGGGTTTTCCCTCGTCTCCTGAGTGCGGGCGCCAGCGCGTGTAGGACGTTGGTTGCGATACGGAGATGCGATGCACCTGATGATGAATGACTCAAAACAATTGTTTGCCAATATGACTTTTTAATCAACAATTGTTCATTCATTGGATTCTGTTTATCTCATAAGTTACCCAAGCTAAAGGTCGTTCAAATATTTGCTGCCCGGTGGGATGCTGGATAGCCAGAAGTTAGTCTAAAAATTTTTCACTCCCTGATAAAGTTAGCTTACCTCTTTCCGTACAGTGGTTTATACATGAATACATTCTTGAGTAATTGTTCTGGGTTAGCAATTTTACTTTCCATTTTACGTTTCCGGTCGTTACTGTGTTAAATCCGAAAAAATGATACAAAGCAAATAGTGAACAGTAGACGCTACGGTCGTAGTCAACATCACGGTAGGAGTTTTTAGTACTCAGTATGAACAACGTGTGTGTGCGTTAATATGTTGGAAAATCCAACAGGGCCTGTGTGCTGTTCCGCACTCAAATTTCGTCCCCACCGGCGTATGTATTAGGCTTCAAATCTGGAATTTCTCCCATGCACGCGGTTTCTTTACCTTTCTCGTCGTGCAGGCGCTTATGCCGTGTAACCAAGCATCCGAATATTTGACGATGCTAGGCAAACCAACCAGGAAATTTAGGTTGTTTGCTTACGACTTGGTGACTGCGAGACAGACTAAACCCCTTGTTCGGTGTGTTTGCTTTTGATTTAGCTTGCTCGTTTTCTTCCTATGATCGGCGTCAGATTCATCCCGCCTGTTTTTGCGAGGGGCAGGGTATTCCGTGATTGGAGGTGGAACTCAATACGGGTATATGATGAACTACCGACAAAAACGAGGGAGACCGTAATGACAATTTCTGACTTATTAATTATCATCAGAAGTCATATCCAATCCGAAGTGTCGACCACCTGAGTTTTGAACCCGGGATCGTTGGTCGTTGAGTAGAGCGCTCTTAGAATGAAACATTTACTCTTTGCCTGGTGAGTGTGCGCCAATTCATTATAACTAATATTCCCAATCACAGCCGACAGGAGAACGCGCCCGTGCCTCAATGGTAGAGTGTCACACTCCACGATCGAATCTTGGGTGATCCACACCTGAGATTGGGTATGACCGGCTGATAACAGCTAATAAGCCAGAGCTTGCCATTTTAGTCTCTGCTGTCTTTGTTGAAAATAATTTACGCGCCAATTTTCTTTTCTGCGCCTAGCTTGTTCTGGCGCACACGGATAGTATATCCTATTTGTTGGAGGACTTTCTAGCTGCTATACTGCTCTGTCTACAATGCTCGTCAAATATTCCACCGAGCCACATATTCTTTATTCAAAACCTAAAAAATATCAGTAGAAAGACACATTTCCGGGCAGTATATCAAATATTAAAATATGTACAGGCTGAATGTCACTAATCTTTCTTACTGACTTGCCAGGGTTGCTTTCAGAAGTGGTCAAAGCGTTCTCATAAGGCTCTGCTTTCCCAGACAGAGTTCTCCGAGTGAGACACTATTACAGTAAGTGACATAACCTTTGAAAGTGTAGCTACAATCCTGTAGAATGATGTCGATTAGAAAGTAGAACGTCGATGGGGTTGTAATATTGATTATCGTGCAGTATCATCTCACTGAATTTTGATCACGTTAGGGTGTACCTTTTTCTGGCTACCCGCAAAGTCGTGCCCTGTGAGTTGAAATCTCGGTTGATCCACACGTGGTATTTGTTATGCCTGGCTGGTGACGGCTCGTAAGCCAGAAATAGCCATTTCAATCTATCTGGTCTTATTCGGTTCCACCTTATAGGTATTTGAAAGTTGCAAGGCCTTCCACAATTCGAAGA